ATAGTAACTAAAATCTTTCAAAGATCATTACCAATTATTTGTAAGTATGGGATAAATGGTGATTCTTCGATGAAAAATGTCCAAACTTACATTACAAAGTAAGTTTTAATTTTTTTTATCTTTTTTTCCATTAACATGTCAATACATATAAATTATATAAAAAAATTGTATGTTTTTATTGTAAAAGAAATATGCTACTTCTTAAATTAAAAAGAAAATAAAACAAAATTAAGATAACTTGTGTCCATCACAAATTTTGACGAAGATGTTTAACTAATAATAATAACAAGTATATCAATTATAATAATTAATTTTAAATTATAATAATTAGTTTTTATCAGTCAATTTTGTGTATATATGTTTTTCCTTTATTTAGGTTAATTGAGTGTTATATTGTTAGAATTTATTCCTTTGACTCTCTCCAATTTACATTATTAATTTGTATATTTTTAATATTGTAACCTAGTAATAAAATTAATTTAAAGCATTTTTCCATAAAGTAAATGAAATTATTATTTTTTTTATTTCTTCAAATTGTAAATCAAAGGATGTATTTGTGAATAACACTATCCAGCACTTCTAAGTTTGAGTTGTAATAATTTTTAATTATGTTGTTATTATGATGTCTCAATTTTTAGCGAACAAGGCATTAGTTCAGAACATGCTTCTTTTATCATTTTTCATTAATATAAAAATTATGTTTTACTATTATAATAATAATTATTATTATTATTACTATTATGTTATTAATATTATTATTTTATTTTTATTTTTAGTGAGATATTAAAAGTTTACATGTTTATTTCGTTTTGTACACTGTTATATTTTATAATATACTCATAAACTTTTATAAACAAAAATCTTTTCTGAGAGATAATTCAATGTTGCATTATTAGTTTGTCGGATTCTGCCTCCAAAAGATTTTATAAAGATTAATTATGATGGACTTATACATATGATGAAAAAAAAAATGTTGCAGGAGTTCTTATTTGATATTCTGAAAGTAAATTTCTTTTTGCTTTCTTTAGTATCTTAAGAGTCGACTATTGTAATGAAAATAGTTATATTAAGGTTTAATATCTATTTTGCTCCCTACTTTTATGGGTTTGGTTCAAAATGATCATTTTTTAAAAAAGTTCAGTAAGACCCCGTAATTTGTTAAAAAATATTCAGTCTGGTCCTTTTCGTTCACACTGTAACGGTGCAAATGCCACCGTAGCGCAACCTTATTGAGTTGTCAAGTTTGATGAATACGTGATGTTACAATGTGTAAATATTAAAAAAAAATTAAAATGACACATCAGCTTCCTCCTCCACCAGCTTCCCAAGCACGCCTCTTTCTCCCACTCTGATTCCGCCGGCTCCCACCTTCATTTCCACTCCGACTCCGATGAAGAGGGATACAAATATCAGAGCAAAACCCTCTTATTTTTCACTCTCACATGCCCTAATCTCTTTGTGCACAGAAACTCTAGAAACCCCAAATCCCAAAAACTCAGAAACTTTGTGAACCCCAAATCCCAGAAACTCAGTCTTCGCTGGAAAATGGAGAATAAGCTTTATTTGAACCGAAACCTCGTCGAAGAAGATGCGTCGCTGATTCGATTTCTAGGGTTTCGATTTCTTAACATTTTTCATCATGCTTTTAATGTCTCAGTAATTAGTGCAATTTCTTTTGATGTGTAGACTCATTCATGGAATGTACTTTAATAAACCCAAATGTACAGGTGAACTCAAAATTGCAAAAATAACAATGTACAGGTGAACTCAAAATTGCCAAAGCTACCTGTTCACAAATTCAAGCTTCAACAAAAAAGCTGTAACAGCTTAAAACCAAGAAAAAGGTAGAAAGAGCAAGCGACGATTTAATTCCATGTTAGTAGGACTTGCATGCTAATTCCATGTTAGTAGGACTTGCAAGCAACAGTTATGTAACCCTTGCTTTTTATTGTAGGGAGGAGAGGGAGAGGGAGAGGGGGAGGAAGAAGGAGACGACGACCTCTAATGTCACGTGGGAAAAAGCCTAAATTCACAGTGAAGGTGGAAGATGAAGTTTTAAATTTTTTTTAATATTTACAGTGTAACATCCACGTATTCATCAAACTTGACAACTCAATAAGGTTGCGCCACGGTGACATTTGCACCGTTAGGTTTTTAACGGTGTGAGCGAAAAGGACCAGACTGGACATTTTTTAACAAATTACGTGATCTTACTGAACTTTTTTAAAAGGTAGGATCATTTTGAATCAAACCCATAAAAGTAAGGACCAAAATAGGTATTAAACCTTGGAATGAGATAAAATAATAAGACTGTTGAGAGTGATTTTTTAACAGTTATACAGATAATCAATTGCGAATTCCTTTAAGAAAGACATCATTTTTATACTTTTGTTTCTTTAATAATTTTGATGGGTTCAAAGGTTGAAATCATGTATTTGGAGAACCTAACTCGGTAGCAAAACAATCTTTGAACTAATTGTAATTCTTTTTAAGTTGCTCCCACTTTTATTGTGTTACTCTTATGTATAGATAAAATTGAAAAAAGTATACTCTCGCTAAACATATTTTTCATGAATAAAATATATTTTAATTTTTTTCATTCTTTATGAAAACACATGTTTGACGTGTGTCCAATTTTTTGGTTGTAGTAAAAATTTATTAACCTATAAAATATTTTTGTTTAAAATAATTAATATACTTTTTTATTATATAAATAAAATTTTTTAATAAAAATTTATTTAAATATTTTAAAAAAGTATTAAATTAAAAAATAATTATTTTATTAAGACTCTTCAAACAAAGACTAATGCATGGTCGATTATTACCTTTAATATGTGGAACGATTGATCTGAGCAGACAACAAAATATGAAATGGAAAATAACATGGAAGACCCACCCTTATTTATAGTCGTGTGGAGCTTTCTTGCCATTTATCTCAACCGTCAAATCAAGTTGCATCCAACAGCTACGAAAATCTTGACATTGTGAATTCTAACTGACACAAAATTTGAGGTATTATGTTTTCCTCCAACGGTAACATTTTCAAACGCAAGTTCAAAGGGTACGTGGCCTAAACACTACACGATCAGCCAATAGGTAACTTCAACATGTTCACTGATCGATATCAACCAAATGATAAAATTCTTCAAGCCACACCTGAATTACATGAACACGAGAGCTAAGTGATCAACTTCAAAGTCCTTTGCCAATCATTTCATGCTTGGGTTTGGGAGGCTTGTGTACCGTATGATCGTTCGGTCAGCCATAAACCAATCAGTCAATCATAGCTTAGATCATCTAGCGAGTCCCTAGTGATCTTGGTCAGTCATCAAGCAAACCGATCAGTCATGAATAAGAGTACATTAACTTTAATATTGATCAACTTAAGAATAAAGTATAATTATTCATATTTAGGCCAACTTTAATAAAAAAAACTCATTCTGAAACCTATAACTAGATATTTAAGGTAAAGAGGTAAGGTATTTGTATTTAATGTTGCATTAATTGTTAACTGTCAATGTTGAGTTGACTTTGGCATAGGAGTGCCTTCTACAATAACTTATCCCGGTAATGATTCTGTTGGTAAAATCCGTCGTTACAAAAAAAATTTGAAAATTGTCAATAAAATATGTTCGATAGGTCAAATTTATCGACAGAAATATATCCGTTGGTAAAAATCCGTCAGTAATTTCAAGATTTTTGTAGTGTTATCCTCCAAATTTCAAGACTTGATAGAGTACTTGAATTTCATGACAACATTCAGACTTTGGATGACACAACACAACTTAGACCGTTAACTTCGATCCCAAAACAATTACTAAAACGTAAAATTGGAAAAGAAAATATGGATATCAAAAGATGAATCAACTTTATATAATAGTATGAAATAGTATAGATAGTTAGTTGAATTAAATAAATGAGCAAATGAGTTTTTTATAAGATAAAATTCACTTATATATAAATATAGAAATTAGCTTGCATAAAGTAATTTTACCTAACAATTTATTTCAAATTTTTTACTTTTTATCCAAAATATGCTTATGAATAAATTTATCAGATCTTTCGATTGTATACTAGTATTTTTTTTTTTTTGCAAGCATTAGTTTTTGTTTTTCCATTGTGAGATTAATTTTCACGCATTAACAATTGGGAGACCATGATTTTCTAATGCATTGTTATATCATTTAAAAAAAATTAACAATACGTTAATATTTCGTTTTATCACGTGCATCATTGAATAACTTATTTAAGTCAATGTAGATATCAAACGATGTCTGACAAACACCCTATTAAAAATTAAAATGTATTTATTGATAGCAGTGTAAATTTGAGTATGAAATGAATTCTATTAAAGGGGAAATACTTATTCTATATAAGCTAAAAATCTCCTATGTTTCTTAGCCATCGTTTTGGGGTTTTGGGTAATGAAGAAACTATATGATCATGGTTAAAAAAATCTTTAAAAAAGACTCTCTCTTTTTTACTGAAATATGTAAAGTGTGTTTTTTTTATGATATTTGTTATGCTCTTTTATATGATTTTTCAACAAGAAAATATTTTTAAGTGACTGTCAACAATAATCCTTAGAGTAAACCATTTTTATTATATGCGTGGTGTGAATTGCCAAACATACTAGTACTCCCAAGTAAATCCAAATCTTGCATTAATGTAATGGTGCCTAACTGCACTGAAATTCACAAAGCAAGAGTGCCAAACTTCTTATTTTAAAGAAAGTCAATCAAGCTTTTGAGTAAAAGATAATTATTACACTACTCATATTTTCTTTACGTATAAGTTTTTAAACATTAGGAATAAAAGTTAATTAATTTAAACATTCAAACGCGTATTCACGAAAATAACAGTTGATAAAAGTCAATTAATTTAAGAAAGTAAATGGTAAGTTATTGGATGAACAAAAGGTGGCAAAAAGCTGTGTATTGTATGAATAGGAGGTAATGAAGATTCGATGAGTTGAATAATGATTATCACCACAAGACAAACGAAGTTGTCTCTAGAAACAAACCAATCTTAATATGAAAAATGTTAAGAGGGAATAAGAAAAGTCGACGGACATACATATGTTGTTGAAAGAGAAGAGAATGTTTTGGCACGATGTGGTGGTGCCATTTGTTGGAGTTAGGCACGTATTTGTCATCATTCCCCATTCACCAAGATGATTCATTTTCAACTCCTTAGAAAACGACCATCACCATTCATTGCAATGTAAGAAGAAGACCAAGATCGTGGAAATTCAAATCTTCCTAATTCCTTTTAATTATTTCCTTCTTCGTTTGCTTGAAGGAAGTAACGTGGAGATTCCCTTTTCTTCCTTCTCACTTTCATGCACTTATTTGGCTTATAAGTGCAAGAAGAAGCCATTGCATTGCATTGGAGAGTCTCTCTTTGTTTCTCTCTCTCTCTCTCTCTCTCTCTCTCTCTCTCTCTCTCTCTCTCTCAATCTCTGTCTGTATGGGAAAGTCAACGGCGTGTTTGTTTGGTGCCATTGTGATCCTTTGGTGCTGCATAAGCCATGTCACATCTGATGCATCGGATCACCGTTACAACAAAGGAGATTCCGTTCCCTTTTATGCCAACAAGGTGGGACCCTTTCACAATCCCAGGTCAGATTTTCAATCTCTCATTCTTCTCACTTTCACCTTTTCGATCCTGAAAGATATTGAAAAAAACATATATACAGTTTTTTTGTTCTGTTATTATGGGGTTACCCTTTGGAGGATGAGATTTCCTCTGGAATTGGATGCCTGCTTGTTTCGTCTCAGAGTGTTGCTCTGATTTATCTCTAATGAAGATTCAATGACCTATTCATGGTGTGGATTTGGATTTTGGAACCCACTCAAGACTTTGATCAGTGAAATCTACTTGTTTGAGTAGTGAAAGAGATTAATTTTTCACTGGAAAATGAAGAAATGAATTTGAGTTGAAAAGTGCGCTATTAGTTATGAATACTCTCAATATCACTATAGGAAACTCAATATCAATGTGAAATACAGAAGTTGTAGGTTTTGTTGAATGGAAATTTAGAATGAATCCAAGCGATCAGGCTGAAAGACTTGGCCTTTAAATTGTTTTAATCTAATTACCTTCACAATCAAGTAATGTTCTGATGCATCCCTCCGAATTTTTACCTCAACAATACCATTTCCTTTTATTCAAACTACGCTATTCTATGCAGAAGAAAGAATGAGCAATATTGTTTCTACTGAAAGAATCTTAATGCTTGTATATAAGAATGAATATTGGAATAGTCTAATGCACGTACTAATTTCTAAAGCTTAGTTATCATATTCATAAATTTCATCCTCACAATGAGAGGCCTTTATTAATTACTTGTGCAGTGAGACATACAGATATTTTGATCTTCCCTTTTGCTCACCAGGTTAGTTTGCAAGTACCCTTCTCTTTTCTCCTATTTCATACTAATGTTTTTGGTTAATCCTATATATTCCATGTAATTCTAAAACTTGTTGGCTGCAGATAAAGTGAAAGAAAAGAAGGAAGATCTTGGTGAAGTTTTGAACGGGGATCGATTAGTTGTTGCTCCTTACGAACTGGACTTCCAGATTGACAGGGAACCTCAAAGTATCTGCAAAAAGACACTTACAGTAAATGAGGTGGCTAAATTCAGACATGCTGTCTTGAAGGACTATTTTTACCAAATGTACTATGATGACTTGCCCATTTGGGGTTTCCTAGGAAAATTTGACAGTGAAGACAAGGATGATCCAACTGGGGTCAGAGTCCATCTTTTCAAGCATGTCCACTTTGAGATTCTGTACAATAAGGATCGCATCATTGATGTTTTCATTCGAAACGATCCACGTGCAGTTGTGGACCTGACACAAAATAGGGAAGTTAATGTGGATTTCACATATTCTGCCAAATGGATTGAAACAGATACCCCATTTGAGAAGAGGCTGGAGAAATACTCACAAACATCCTCACTGTCACATAACTTGGAAATCCATTGGTTTTCTGTCATCAACTCATGTGTGACTGTTCTGCTCTTGACTGGATTCCTGGCCATAATTCTTATGCGTGTGCTCAAGAATGATTTTGTTAAGTAAGAATCATGGATTCAAACCTCTTAACCGGTGTGTACATTCATGGATTCAAACCTCTTAACCATATCAACCATTTCAAATCTTGACAGGTTTACTCCTGATGAGGAAGCAGTTGATGATCAGGAAGAAAGTGGATGGAAGTATATCCATGGTGATGTGTTCAGGTATCCAAGATTCAAGTCTTGGTTTGCAGCCGCACTTGGAACAGGAACCCAGCTATTTACACTGTGAGTTACTAGCTTAAGTACTTATCTTTTAAAGGTGTTGACTTTGTATTGTTCAGCTCTTTCCTGACCATGATATTTGATCCTGCTTTCAGTGCAATATTCATCTTTATGCTAGCTCTAGTTGGTGTTTTCTATCCATACAATAGGGGATCTTTGTTTACTGCACTGGTCATCATATATGCACTAACTTCCGGCATTGCGGGCTACTATGCAGCTTCCTTTTATTACATGGTTGAAGGCAAAAACTGGGTACGTTACGTTATACCCCATAGGCATTACTTTGTATATGAGTAGCAAGTGATTTTGATTGAAATTCTTGATAAAACTAGCCTTGAAAAACCACATGGATCAAACAGATTCTTGAGTACAAATCAAAGAATAGTGTTTAAGGGATGTGTCATAATTACTTCTGGTTTGGCTTTGCTTTAAACAAGTGAAAGCACAGTGCAAATGCATGAAGTACACTTCTGAGGTTTTGATTTGGTTTTTGACAGGTGAAAATTTTGGTGTTGACTGGAAGTTTGTTCTCTGGACCTTTGTTTTTCACATTCTGCTTTCTTAATACTGTTGCACTTGCCTATAACACCACTGCAGCGCTTCCATTTGGAACAATTGTGGTTATTTTCCTCATATGGACTCTTGTAACCTCACCTTTACTAGTACTGGGAGGGATTGCTGGCAAGAATAGCCAAACAGGGTTCCAAGCTCCTTGCCGTACCAATAAGTATCCTAGGGAAATTCCCCAACTACCTTGGTACCGTACAACTCTATCTCAAATGGCTATGGCAGGTTTTTTGCCGTTCAGTGCCATTTACATTGAACTCTACTACATATTTGCCAGTGTGTGGGGTCACCAAATTTACACCATATACAGTATTTTGTTTATTGTTTTCATCATCCTATTGATTGTCACCGCTTTTGTCACTGTGGCATTGACATACTTTCAGCTTGCTACCGAGGACCATGAATGGTGGTGGAGGTATGTAGACTTTAACATTAGAATTCTCTCACTGTTTTCCTTGCTTATCAGTTAGAATTTAGTTCACCTTTTGATGTAATTCATGTTCCTTCTTTCTCAACTATTTCGTTGTTGGCGTGATTAGGTCTTTCCTTTGTGGTGGGTCAACTGGCTTGTTCATCTATGGGTACTGCTTGTATTACTATTTTGCAAGATCAGATATGTCTGGCTTCATGCAAACCTCTTTCTTTTTTGGCTACATGGCTTGTATTTGCTATGGTTTCTTTCTCATGCTTGGAACTGTGGGTTTCCGTGCTGCTTTGATCTTTGTCCGTCACATATATCATTCTATCAAATGTGAATAACTGCTTATTGGAACCAAACAGACGCTTTATTGTCCCTTTGACACCGGAACTTTTCCTCTGATGTTCTTAGTTCTTGTTGCAAATGGTTTGTCATAAAATATAGTGGAGAAAGATTTCAAGAGCCTGAAGTGCTTTACACAAGTGCCACACCCCAAATTTCTCCCCGTGCTTCATATAATCTCAGAACATGTGCAACAATAGTGTAACTCAAAATCTCTTGGAAATATAGAAGCTTTTTGCATACTTTCAAGTGTATAGACTACTACCAGTGCTTCATATATTCTAACATAACATGTATGACGGTCGTGTAACGCAAATTCTTAGAATCATAGAAGTTTTTTGCATTAGATTCATGTTTGTTATTAGCTTATGATAAGAACATCATATTATTTGCATCCTAAATTCCCAATTCATGATTCTTTTGAATTCGATGCTACATACCAACATATGCAATATCAAAATAATACCCCTCCACCTCTGAAGTTGTGCTTCTATTTACCTGCAATAACCGTCATGTTCTGTTTTTTAACTTTAGCAATAGGATGTGGTATAAATATCTAAGGCGGGCAACACCCAATATCGATAAATCAAAGTAAAAATCCTGAATTATAATGACAATGTTGAAAAAATAGGTACTAACAGTATTTTGAAACCTTAGCACACTCCAAAATTTTCGTCAAAATAGGATTGATGTTTTTTCCATGCTACACAAAAAGCTTCGGAGTATTTCTAATTGGTATCCCACCCAAAGGCGTTTAAAATAGAGTATTCATAGATTATTGATCAGAACGGAAACGCAATAAATATTGAAGATTAAACTATCACAATATGCGGTTCTAGAAGTTCGGTACTACATAGAATTATCTTTAGTCTAAAACTTGCGATTACAAAGCATGAAAATCAATGCAACAGGGATAAATTTTAGTATACATTATCTATAATAGATAGCATTCATCACCGATCTAAAAGATCGGCCAACCAAGAGACGACAGCAACAAAAGGACTAGACCCAATATTTTTTGTGAAAGTCACATCCAACATCTGACACAAGCATTCCCTGGTTACTTTCAATACTTCCAAGTAGAACCGCCAAGTCTGATAACCTCTTCCCCTCCACTATCCTTTCTAGGAATTTTTTCCATGCGGATTTCTCCTTTATTATCCCCTAAATCACCATACATATCTTTAAGTTTAGCTAGATTACTGGATGCAGAAGTTCTTTTACTCCCATCTCTTGGTGGACTAGAACGTGATTCATGACGAGCAGTGCCGGCTTGCTGGCTCTGACTCCTACTCCTGCTTCTACTTCTACTCCGACTCTTCCGATAGTGCCGGCTCCCATTGTCATAATCCCGGCTGCTTTCTCTTTCTGTGTGCTTAGACCTCCTATCATAATCATAACTCCTCTCTCTTTCCCGCTCCTTATCCCTTCGGATTCTGTCCCTCTCCTGATCTCGGTCCGAGTCACGATCCCTGTATCTTTCCCGGTCTCGATCACGCTCCCACTCCCTGTTTCTATCTCTATCACGGTATCTGTCCCTATCACGTTCTCGATCCCTGTCCCTCTCCCTTTCCCTGTCCCGGTCCCTATCATGATCCCTATCCCTATCTCTGGACCGTGACCGTTCACGATCCCGATCCCTATCAGGATATTCCCGGCTTTGGCTGCGGCGACTACTTGGAGATCTTCTTATGTCATCACTGCCATTTCTTTCATGAGAAGGTAATGTACGGCGAATAGGTGAAGAATCCCTTGTGGAGGCACGATGTGGAGCTCGCTGACCAAAAGAGACTGAAAGAGCAGCTTTAACCGAAGGTGGTCTGCGGGCAGTATCATCAGAACCATGACGGGTAGATTCCCCAGTCGAACCAGAATGTGTAGTGGGGAGCTTCAACTTTTCAAGATTAGACACAACCTGCCGCAATACAGGAACGGGGATGCGAGGAAACAGTGTGTCGAAGTAATACTGCAACAGCAGAACAGATTCATCAGTCCTTTACTGTACAGTTAAATAATATGGAATTAAAGAGGTGAAATAAACTTGCGAACTGCAGCAATCAAATCTGTCAACCGGGGCACGTGTGTACCATGCACAACATTCCCAAAATCATAAAACATCAAACACACAACAAATATGCCAGCAATGAAGAGATAGTAACCACATAACACAAGAGAACATCAAATATTGATATAAATACTAAAAAATTATGAGAATAAAAAAAAGTTAAATTTGTGTGACTCTCTAGAATCCTTCCATACAATAAAAACATGGTTGTTTCCGTTCTTGCACTTGTTCCTTCTTCATTTGAACCAAAAATATAATTAATTTGAATGTTGGATGTTTTATATGATTCAAATACATTAATTTTACATTATATAGAATTATTCTACGCATACAAACTGAGATCAATAATTTAATATACATTCCTAGCAGAAATATCAAAATGCAAATGAAAAGAATTGAACAAACTCACAGTCCAACCAGCCAGGCATTCATTCGTAGTATGAAGTATTAGACTACGAAGATTGAAGACATAAATGGCCAAACAGAGATAAATTATTTATCAATTTAGCCTACAACTTTCTCCAAGACCTCGGAAATTAAGCTTCAAAAAGGATAATCCTAAACGACTTCAAAAGAAGTACATGGAGTATAAAGTACATAGAAATTTAGATATCCTCAAAAATTTGGATAAACTCTCACTTACCCCTCAAAATAAGAACACATCAACTAGAGTATAAAAGTACATAGAAAACTTGATGACATTTGACCCTCAACCTCCCACATTTCAGGATGGACAGCTCCGTATATAATACAGAATGGAAGTTAGTGTATGTCTACATTATAATATGGCCACCTGGTGCTATCAAGTATGAATATTAGACTACGAAGATTGAAGACATAAATGGCAAACAGAAATAAATTATTTATCAATTTAGACTACAACTTTCTCCAAGACCTCAGATATTAAGCTTCAAAAAGGATAATCCTAAACGACTTCAAAAAAAGGCAGACAAGGATAAATATAGCTCCATAAGACTTGAAAGTTAAAACATGTTCCAACGCCAGAAGTACAAACCATAATATAGGTGGTGTAAAATGTGAGACCTAGATCCCCTATACTATGTCAACCAACTTGGTAAATAAAATTTGTAGGAGAAACAAATGCAGATCAACAATGCAAAAAGGCAGACATCAGCTCAATCTCAGAAAGATAAGGAAAGAAGAGAAGAAATGCGAAATGAGAAAAACCTCATTTTAGTCCCTGAAAGAAACATCTGTCATTGATTTTCTCTCTTTTAGATAAATTTATCAATTTGATCCCTCATGTTATATTTCCAATATTAGAGTATGTCCATCCAAATAATGAAGGTAAATGTGTTTCAAAGGATCAAACTAGTGTAAAGTAAATTGACAACAAACATGTATTTCATGTAGATATTCTACTCTAAGGCAACCACAGAAGAAGCACTCTTTCACTAAAAGCCTCAATACTACAGTGGCTTTAGAGACGAGAAATCAGCCACAATGAGCATGCAATAAAAAAAATGAGAAAGAAAAGAAGATTCTTTCGGACTAATTCTTATCAGAATTACTGGTAGATATATAAGTTTTATGCCCAAAGATACCGTAAGCACCTCAAACTGTTACTCCAAATTATGGGACGGTGAGGGATATATCTGCATTTGCAGTCTCGTGATGCATCTCTGGTAGGAAAGCTCTGAAGAGAGAATTCTCAGTTTGACTAGTCTTTACTCGAGTCAAATGATTTTTTCCCTCGCAATTGTGTTGTACATTAATAATCTCAAAATAAAAAAGGTCAGAGTAAAATTTGCTAATTATCATTTAAATGCACTTCATTATCTACACACGAAACTGAAGCACAAGGTCAAAGATGGTAAACCAGGAAGTATGCTCTTGTGAAAAATATAGCCTGATAGGGATTTAGAGATAACAAACCTGTCCAAGTAGCAAATCACGGATGTATACACCCATTGTAGTCATTCGACCATTAGATCCAGGAGAAAATTCCTGAAACACAGCATCATAATTCACATATTACTTAAGGGAGCACTTTAATGATATCCGAAGATCAAAGATAATTCAAGCCAACTGAAGCCCAAACCAGTTACTATCTTCTAAAGCAAAGAAACATACGGGCACAAAAATACATCAACCATGACAGATTTGCCTATTAAAAGAAAATCTTAAGAGAAAACTTGGGCCACAAAACATTGTTGACAAAACATTCAATTGGCATGGCTCTATGATATTAATGGTATAATCAGTGCTCAGATAAAAGAAAAATGGGATAACATACAAAATATATCCAGGATTCAGAACTTTGATCAAACCCAAGCTGAGGTATGAAGAAACTATCAGAATAGAGTAAGATCGTAGAACATGTCACCATACCTCCTCGTCTTTTATATATGGTTCAAACCAACTCCATAGTGTCTTTGGGTCTCCACAATATCTCAGATAGAGAAACCCAACCTATAAACAATAAAAGAAATCAATACAGAGCATAAGAAAAACATACGAAAATAACCACCAAAGAGAATATTGTATACAGAACAGTCTCTGTATTGATGCTAAGCTGAGTCATACCATCCTTCATCTCATTAAACGAAACTTAATATCAATATAAAAATACAAAGATTATTCCTTACATCATAACAATTTGAAGTAAAAAAGAAGAGATCGATTGAATATTAAAGCTAACCCAGTTAAGAAAACATCCCACCTAATAGGGTATGGGAAGTGTAGTGTATGCAACCTAACATTGAAAATGGAAATATTGTTTCAAACATTTGAACCCATGATCTGTGTGTCATAAAGCAAAAATCCTTATGGATGGGCCAACATCTACTCTAATGGACTCAACTTATTTAATTACAAGGATGAAACCATTTGTTCATTCAAAGAAATTCCTTTTAAGAGCAACTGAAAAGTGGGGAGATTGATTTATCTTATGCATTGTGTAATGTGGTTTCTGAAACAACAACAAACAACCTCCATATCAACCCAAACCACCATTTGACCCTCAACCATCCCCCACAGACCACAACTTGTAGCAGCACAAATCAATGCTCATAAAGCAGAAAATAAGTTGGAGGCAAGGGTCATATGAATGACTAAAGTGGCTGTAAGGCTTGCAGCCCTAATTGTTACAATTTGGGGGGGCACAGTTTTTATCTTTCAGAAAAGGGCAATTTGACCAGAAGACCACATCATTCAAACCCTCAATCAATCAAAGAAAAACCAGACAACCTCACCAAATCAATTTTTTGGTTCTGACAGAATCATAACAGAAGCATAAATTGTAAACATGTACAGTAGTCAATCTAACATGCAATTTTGGCTACCTTACATTTGACAATTCAATTGAAACCCATCAACACACTCAGCCCAAGCTCTTTTATGATAATTCCACATTTCAACTATGCAAGATAAATTATGCTACAAATAAGCGATTCCAATATAATTAAATAGTCTCATGTGAACCCATCCTCTCTTGCCCTACAAATTGACCAACTATTCAAAGCCAGCATAAATTCCACCACCTAATATAAACTTGATTAGAAATGGTCAGAAAGTCATCCATTCCCAAACAACAAAACTTTCAAGCACAAACACATCATAACCAACAAAAAATATTTTTACACCGCTTAAAAGTCCAGTATACATTGTCAGTCACATCCCACGTACCGCTCTAATGTAAGGAGAATCAGGGTGTTTCAACAGCCCGTGCATTTGCTTGACAGTGAGCTTCATCGTAAAAAATTTGTAAAGAAGACAGAAAGCAGTAGAAGGGCCGCGACAATTGCCAGTCATCCACGGCTCCACATGATCAACTTGATTATAGATCTCATCAATAACTTCATGATAAGTTTTTAATCGATAGAGCTCCTTAAAGTAATCAGATGACAAAATATTCATGCACAGAACCTTTTCTAGCAGGGAGTCAATTGGCTTGCCACATGTCTGTATCTCCATGATACAACAAAATAAACTATTGCTCCCACAGTTAAAATCTCAAAATTCCAACCACTATATGATGTCACAATTCAATTCCTACAGAAAAAATACAAACAAGTGTGAATGAATACTCAAAACAATAATAATAATTACAAGTGGGAATTAACAAGCAAGAAGCTTACAATTTCAAGTCCAGAACAAGGAGAACAAATTAAAGTGAAATAAAGAGATATATATATTTAAATTTCAAAGAAAACAATTATTTGCCACAAGAAAAGCTTACAACAAATTAACAAGCACTAGAGGATCTTTTTCCAGCTGAAATTTCAAAAGGTTACATTAACATAGATCCGCTCTGGGAGGACGAAATTGGTGCTTGCGTGAGCGAGTTACCGGGATAAAATGAATAAACGAAATCGGTGGAACTCGCCGGCAGATAAAAAGACAAAGGTGAATGATCAGAGGAGCGTGAATAAAGAAAAAAGGAAATTGCAATCGAGATTAGGGATTTGGAACGAAAAGAAAAATAAATGAAAAAGAGGAAGTGGAGTTAAAGAAATTGGTACCAATTGGTGAGAGGGAAGGGAGAAAGACGAAGGTTGGAGCGCGGAGAAAGAACCCTAGCTTCTGAGGCTCTGTAGATACTTTTGGATTGGCAAACTAGGGACGCAACTCCTAACCCCGATACAAATACCTCACACCCCTTTTTTTTTTAATAAACGAATCAACTCGACCCGTTTAAAGAGGAAAATAACTATTTCATTTGGTTAGATAAAATTGATTTTGAAAGAAACGGGTCGAATTATAACTTGAGTAAGATTCCTTTTTAAAAATAAACACTTCTGTTTTGTGTCAAATAAAAAATAAGTTTCATGGGAGCATGTGATCGAAATGTAAATTTAAAAGGTTGGTGACGTTGTAAAAAAATTAAAACTCATGACTCAATCTTATTTAACACAAATTATATTGGGTAAAAAAAAATTATAAAATCGAATTGATTTATTAATTCACTTATAAATTTTAAATATTAAATTATATTAAAAGAAATTATAAATGTTCTTTCCATATTTGAATCTATTTAAATTTTATTTACAATTTAATATTATTTTCAATTATATTTAAATTAAAATTTATTTAGATTTTAATTAAAAAATTATAATATTTTGTAAATTGTAAATAAAAGAATTAATTTGTTTAACTTATTAAACTGTGGTAAGTTAAGTTTGGATTCGAATTTTTTAAATTAAGTAATATAATAATTATGTTTTGTAGGTTTTATGTCTATCGGGAAAGATTTTAAAAAAATTACTGATAATTATTTAGCATAGTAAACCGGGAGGATATAATATTTAAAATAGTAAAATAATTTATAATTTTAATAAATCGAATATATATTAAACACACAAAAAATATTATTTTTCACTTTTATTCAATATACTATTATATATTTATTCTCTTACAAATTCTAATATATACATATATAGGAAATTTAAAAATAATATATATCTTAATATTTAAATTAATTAATATAATTTACAATATAGTTATGATCTATAACCATGAAAAACGTAAAAATAATTATTTGTATTTTATGCATTTTTATTAGTTGTATCCTTATAAACACAGTCAAGGATTTATAAGAAACTATGTACGATAACTAATAGTGACTTTAATAAAAAAAGGTACAACTACTTTAATAGTATATAAAATAAAATAAAAATATATATTATGACTATGTTTCGTATATATATTTTTTATAATTTTAATAACTAATTTCATTAAATAATTGTTATAATAATTAATTTATATTATACTTTTAATTAATTTATATTATAATTTTAATTTGTATTATTATAATAAGACTAATATACAAATGAAAAATTTAGTGTTAGTATTTATAATATTTCAGTATCAACTACAACACGAAACAAAGGAGATAGAAAAAAAAAATAGGCTAAATTTCTTATCTGGTTTTCATATATGTTTAAATTTTTAAACAAATATTCAATTTTTATTTGATTCAATTTAATTAATTGATTTGAAAAAAAAATTGAATAAAATATTTTCATTAAATTCTAGTTATTATATGACATGTGTCATTTCATGGTATTTTTATTTTAACTTTATTTTTTTATTTTAATATTTTTGTCACGTATCATTTATTATGTTACACAATGTTAGTGTCAGGTGAGTATTCAATTTAATTTTTATATTTAAAATTTTAATTAAACTAAATTCAAATTTGTTAAAAAAATGAAATAATGTTTTTTTTCTATAATGAGACTAAATTAATAATTAAGTTTAATTACAACTTATATATACATTTTAAAATATTTTTTTAAATTTATATATTAAATCACTTTACTTAAATATTGAAATTAATTTTACTTTTCAATATGAGTTTTAAAAAATATTAAAAATATTAAGATATTTTCTATGTTAGCTTATTTATAAATTTAATTGACAAATACATTTACACTTTTTTAACTTAATACATTTTATATCTTTTGTTAGTTTATTTATAAATTTAATTAGACAAATATAAAATTTTAAAATTACAAATGTCAACATTTTTAATATTTAAAAAATTATAAGTTTAAAATAAGAATTTTTTTAATGAAATTAAAAATATAAAAAATAAAATTAATTTGAATATTTAGGTAAAATAATTTAATATATAAATTCTAAAAGATTACGTTCACATGTATATATAAATTTTAATTAGACTTAATTACTAATTTGATTGAGAAGAATAACATTGTTCTCCTTTTAAAAATAATTGAAAATCAATTGAGTTAAAATTTTAAGTATAAAAATTAAATTACACTTTATATATTACTTGTAAGAGCCTGAAAAAGTTTAAGGTCATTGGGTCCTATGTGGGGTAGTCAGGCCCATCAGACTAAGGCCAACCTAACCTTAGGAAGGGCTCCTCAGAATTTTCATTTCTCCTGAGCTCTTTTCTCTCTCTCTAAGACTCTTTGTCCTAAACTATTCTCTGTCTTCTATCTAAATTTCCAGCTCTCTGAACCGTTCAATCTTGGGTTGGAAGGTGCTCAGACGTTCACCACACCGAAGGCTTCCTTTTGAATCGATCGTATTTTCGTTTGGACCGGTAAGTCGTTTTTCCCTTCTCTTTCACTATCTTCCAACCTAGAGCATGCAACATTATTGGTTGTATGTTACTAGGGGGTTTCGTTTTCCTGTTTCTACCAAATCAAGCTCTAAGAGTTATTGCTGTCACCACTTTGGTGGTTTGTAGGGTTTGGATTGAGTTCGCGTGTGTGAGATACCAAAAAGGGGCGTCCTTGTGAGCTTGGTAATACAACTCTGAGGTAAGGGGAGCTAGAGTACTTTCTTATGAATTCTTATATGTTGGGTGTATGGACTAAGTTATGCATCATTGTGCTCTTTGAGTTACGTTTATAAGTTTTAAGTGTATGGAATAATATGTGCTGATATGTTCATCTGTTAACCTGTGAATGAATGCTTGTGAGCTGATTTTAACGTGTTGTGTTACTGCAATGAGGATGTTGGATGGGTGAAATCTGAGGTAGCAGCTGTAAGTTGAAAGTTAAGAGGGTTGGTAGTGCTTTAGGTGACCTTGAGAGGAAGTGAGGTAGTGATTTTGGGAAGTAGGGGTTTTGAGCACATTTGGGTTGTTGGGATATCTTAGGCAAGTCATTTATGACTTGTTAAGATCATAAAACTGAACTAGAACATGTTAAAAGTGGTAAAACCGAAATTGGGTCCTTAAGTATAGAAATTAATGTTTTGAAAGATAAAATTTGATCTTAATCGCTTTAAAAAGATGTTAGGAAGGGTTAGAATCAGTTAGACATGTTTAATTCAATATATACTTTGAGTTGGGGGTGTTAGAAGTTCACCAAAATGGTTGGAATGAGTTTGGAGTGGTTGAGTTGTTCAAATTTGCAGAATTTCATTCTGCAGATTTTGTAGATTCGCAGAGCGAAGCCTTTCGCTCAGTGAGTTGCCATGGCGGGATGCTCTCTGCCAGGGCATTCGCATGGCGACTCTGTACGCGATGCGAATTATAACATAGGGTTGCTCTCTATTTGGTAAGTCGCGTAGCGAATGTAGTCGCTTTGCGACTGTTGCTAGCCTGGGAAATTAGGGTTTAGGGTTTGATAGCGCTATGCGAATTTTAGCTGAAAAACACTCCCCCCGTCAGGAAAATTCGCTCAGCGCACCAAGGGTGGTGCGCTGTGCGAATTTTTGCTGTCTTGCCTTGCACCTTAGTGCGCTGTGCGACCTGGTTTAGTGAGTTTCACATTTTCCCTCATCTGTTTGAGTTGTTTGATGTTGTTTAACTGTCAGGGTGTATGTATGTCTATATAATTGATTTGGGTGGCTTGATTTTGCAACATGATTGAGGGTATGTTGTATTGTGTGTGAATTATAGTTTGGAAGTATGTATGAAAAAAAGTTGTGATTGGCGTAAGTGTAACAAGTATGGTTCATGGATGTAATTCCATGATCCTCAAGGAGAGGATACATGGTGGTGCCCTGGTGGTGTGTAGAATGATTGCATGGTAGCTCAGTTTTGGAGGTTTTCCTGAAACTACAATGATCAATCATTCTCAAGTAGAGAGGATTGAATCATGTGGTGGTAGAGGCTTTGCAAAGCAGTAGAGGCCACCACGAGTGCATAACCCGCCATAGCTCGGTAATCATTCTAGTCCGGACGAGTCGGTTTATAAAGTAACAAGTCTTGTGATGTCATTTTACCATGTTTGAGTGATTTTTGCATGTCGAGCTTGGTGGAATAACATGTTTTTTATATCTAGCTCACCCTTGCTTGTTTGTGTTACTTGTGTATGTTTTTTTTGTGATGATCATCCACTTGGGTGGGAGCAGATGGAGAGGAGGTTCTTTTGGAGACGGCCTTAGAAGTTGAGGACAATGTTGTTGCCTAGTCTCCTTAGGATGTTATCGAATTATTGTCTGTAGTTTGAAATATTGTTTCCCTTTAAGTTTACAAGATCTTTTTGGAGTTGAAGTTTAATTTCTGAAATTACTTTGAGGATGATTGTAATCCTTAATTACTCTTGATTGCTTTCCTATATTATGCATGATGACGTCTTTATTATATATTTTTATATATTTTGGAACATCACATTACTAATACGATAATGTATTATGATATTATGTGTTAAATAACAACAAAATTAAAAAAAAAAAGTAAATAAGAAAAAATAATATGACATGTGACATAAATCGAAAATAATTTAATTTAATTATTTTTACAAATAAAATATTTGATTGAACTAAATAAAAATTAGAAAGTAATTAAATAGTTCAGACGAACACTGGAACAAATAAGGATTTTAACAAAAAAAGACAATGAATAACATGTGTGAGTATATGTAGCGTCTAATATATAAAATTTTATTAAAATAAAACTAAAATAAACATAAAATGAATTTATATATTTATATTTATATAATTATTAAAAAATACAAAATAAATAATTAAAGTTGTGTAACTAGTATTTTAAATTTTTAATTACAAAAATTGTTTAACAGGAAATCATGAAAGT